TAACGCGTTCCTGATTTTGGCATAATAACTAGTTACCGTGCTCGTTACCACAATAATAACGTAGTTACTGTAACGCGTTACTTAATAATGCGTTAGTCCCAACACTGTTAATAACTGCATTCCAGGTGGTTTTTAAAGGAAAAGCAAAAACAACTGAAAAGGGTGCTTTTTATAAAAGAGAGTCCTAAGTGCTAAAAGAAAAATAAACAGTTAAGTGTTTTTCAGTTGCTTTTTGGAACAGGAACTAATAATTATAATTATCATGTTTTTCTTCTTATCTTAAGAATCCTCAAAATGCCGATCTGTAACTTTGATACATATGTGACCACACCATGCCAGTGTTACACATGTAGGGAATTGATAAGAATTTAGCGATTCTTATTCCAACATTGATATCCCTCATTGATTAAAATCCTTATTGATTCTTGTCAATGGAAAATTGTATTTAGTAGTCAGTATAATCTTTTAATGATATAAGTTTGCATATGGTAGAATACTGCATGTAATCATTTGTGTTTAGAAGTATATAGTTGGTGGCATATTGAAAGAATGTCTCATTCTAGGAGGTCTGTAACATTCCAGGGTGTTCTGGCGTTCACCCCCACATCCTAGGAGCATGGGAGAGGTCGTACCTTGTTTTATTGTTTTACGGTAGGATTAACGTAGCTATGTCAGTTTTAGTCTAAGTGCCTTCTTTATATATAGATGAACTGTTGGATTTTCCAGACCAGCAGGTTAAGGGAAGTCGTTTATGGGGTCTCACACACGCACACGCACACACACACACTCGTACACCTCCACATTCCAATGTAAGAAACAAACGCTCACTGAAGTATAAATAAAGACCGGGGCAGTTTCTCAGCACGAGTCTCAGTGCTGGAGGCTCGCCCTTGCTAGCAAGAAGTTCTGTGTGTTTCTCTTCTCTGAGTCTCTACTGAAGAAGTGTTTTAGAGTATACCTCTTAACAATTCTCATTTGCTCCAGTTTGAGAGTCACCACCATCTCTAAGTAGCATATCAACGACATTACATTCATGCAAACTAATTACACGGTGCGTGGTCAAATGTTTGTGAATGTTGTTTTCCCTCTTTGTTGTGATCAGTGTTGGGGTCATAACTCCAAAATAGAAAAGTAAAAAAGTTGTTACACATATTACACAGAACACTTTTCTTAAAAGTAGTGCAGTATGTTACTTATTACACCCATGAGAAAGCCATGTTGTACTACTCGTTGTTACTTTCCTGTTACTATGTAAAATGATTTGAAACACAGTGTCTCATAATTGTGTGGATTCCGTAGGCAAAAGTGGTAAGACTTTTGGTGCTCATAACTTCTATACTTTTTGAGATATTGAATTTTTTTTGCAATGTTTTTTGCCTATTTCTGCATATTATCAGTGGCCTCACTGATTTTCCTTGCTGGGTTGACCTGTGTTTTAGCTCAGTGAGATGAGCATCCGTTCTCGGAGTGGGAGGCCTGGGTTCAAATCCCGCTTATGCCAACATTTCTTTCAGTCAACAGTTAAACTTTTTTTTAAACTCTTTTCAACACAAATTTAAGCTTTTTCACCCCTTTTCAGCACAATTTTCAGTTTTTTCACTACTTTTCAGCACAAATACCAGCTTTTTCAGCTGTTTTCAGCACAAACCTCTTTTCAGCAGAATTCTGCTCATTCAACTCTTTTCAGCAGAATTCTGCTCATTCAACTCTTTTCAGCAGAAATTTTGCTGATTGAACTCTTTTCAGCAAAATTTTCAGTTTTTTCTGCTGTTTTCAGAAAAAACCTCTTTTCAGCAGAAATTCTGCTGATTCACCTCTTTTCTGCAAAGTTTTCAGCCTTTTCACCTCTTATCAGCACAATTCTCAGCCGCTTCTGCTCATTTCAGCATAATTGTCAGTCTCTCCACCACTTCTTTGTGAGAAAGAGTTTGGCGCAGTGAGATGAATAGCCGCGTACAGACCAGAAGGGCCAGGTTTGAATCTTGCTCAGGGCAACATTTTTTTTTTAACGTAGTATCTCTGCCAAGTCATAGAATTACTGCAATTTCATAGTTTTTTTAGGAAATCTGTTATGTTATAGTATTACTACTAAGTCATAGTATTTCTGCCAAATCATAGTCACTAGGGGGCTGACTGTTTACTAAGTGCATCAGTGTAAATAGGTCATCTCTTGTGTTGGAGTGCCCTCTTGTGGTGCCTTTTGGGTAGTGCCTTAGTAAACGTGAACTAAGCAAAAGCCTCTTTTCAGCAGAATTCTGCTCATTCACCTCTTTTCAGCAGAAATTCTGCTGATGGAACTCTTTTCAGCAGACTTTTCAGAATTTTCACCTCTTTTCTGCCCAAATTCTGCTTATTCACCTCTTCAGAAAAAAATTCAGCCTTTTCACCTCTTATCAGCACAATTCTCAGCAGCTTCTGCTCATCATTCAGCACAATTGTCAGTCTCTCCACCTCCGCTTTGTGAGAATGACTTTGGCTCAGTGAGATGAGTAGCTGCCTTGAGACCAGAAGGGCCAGGTTTGAATCCTGCTCAGGGCAACATTTTTTTCAACTTTTTCAGCTTATTTCAGCAGACATCTTCAGCGTTAAGGAATCCACACAGCATTTTCGCAGGAAATGCAAATTTTTCTAGTTGCCAATTAACATTATAAACCTGTGGCTACAGCCCCACACACCAACACTAGTCCCTGTCCTAATGAGGACACATATGTTCTTTCTCTTAGTATTTAAGTATGAACGCAAAGCCGACAACACAAAGCAAAGATAAAAACCACCATGGAGAGACTTCAAAGCAATGATTCTACTTTATAACCATGATGATTAACGTTAGATAGAAAGCATTTACGTAGAAAGAGCTTAGAAAGAAAGTGCTTGTGTGAATGGGTGAATGAGGCAAACTGCGTAAAGCGCTTTGGAGAGCTCAGCTGCAGTAGAAAAACGATATATAAGAACCAGTCCATTTACCATAATCGTCCCACAACCTGGTCAAGGAATGGGCTCAGCCTCGACAAAGAACTTATTTTCAAAACTAGTTCCCCTCTTCCAGCTGTTTAACTTTATCCTTGAATGCTAACTGTTAAACATCAAGGATCACCCAAAAATTTGCAGTATTTAGGGGTTTTAAGGGTTTTCCCTCGAAACCTTAGACTTCCTTGCCACACTGATGAGCTTTGTCATTCCTCATATCAGGGTCTTTCATAAGGAGAACTATTCTAGTCAATGAGGAAACAGAAGTCTGTCAACAGTTTTAGTTGTGAAAACACTGATCAATGGGCAGATCTCTGCATCATGTTCTGGTTTGACCAGATCAAACATACTTCATGTCTCAGATGTAAATAGCTGCTGTTAGAACTTCAGGAACCAAGGATGAGTGAAAAAACTTGTCTTGGTGTACTTGCTGGTGTACTTCTCATGTATTTACTTGCAGACTTGCTGTTATTCGCCCTGTCGCAATGTTAGCTAAGTTGTGATCCTTTGAAACATGGTGCCACTGAGTCTGTGTAGTGGAAGTACTAATTCTTGAGACTTTTTTGGGTACATACATTTAAAACCTTCGTGAAGAGTCATTGGTGTAATATAAAGCGTGCAACTCAAGCCTCATGAAGGCACCAGCTTGGTTTTTACCATGATGAATCCAATGTAGCGCTGTCCGTCTCCATTAAGAGCAAGGGCAGTGTTGATGAAATCTGTAATTTCAATCAACAACTCATCTGAGAAGAAACAGTGCTATTGTTGCTGCATTGAGAACAGAGGCAATGAGACATAAGGTCTGGGTATGTACAGGAGTTCGACCTCTAAAAGGGAGTCTTTCTGTGCATTCCATTTCTTTTCTTTGGCAGTCACATGGATCAGTGGTAAGGTCTTGGATGTTAGCCTTGCACTGTACAGTGATGTACAGCTATAGAGGATGCGCCTGATAAATGAAGGACCATTCTTGCTTAGAAGCCTGGAAGATTAAGGTCTCATATTCAAGGATCCAGCTTAGTCCAAGGCCACATTGAAGAGGTGAAGAATATGTCCCTATGTCTGTGTCTGAAGACCTTTGCCAGGTCATCAGCTGGCAGTTTTGTGTAGCTGTAAATCTGACTTAGCTAATGTCTTCTGTATTTTCTTTAAAAGCCTGACAGCCTCAATTTCTGTCAGGAGTGAGGTCTGATCATCATCAGCGTAAGCATTCCAGATAAGAAATTCCTTTGGTTCTGCTACTCTGGTTCTCCTGCTCGAACTTTTCTTAACCCATAGTTGACTGATTATTTGATCGTTTTGTTCAGGGTTTAGTTCTTTACATCAGTATTTATTGTAGCTTGAAGAGTTTCTCGTGTGTAGAGGTGTTAAAGAACTATATTCCTGGTGCACAGACGGTAACTGAAATGTTGACTATTGAAAACTGCCTGTTTCATTACTTGTGTTGGTCCACCATCTTGTGGTGTATTTAAGAACTGTTTTTAATATATTTTTGCATTCTTAGCACAATAAGGAGAATGCATTTCCTTAACAGGACTGTAGTGTGAATGTAGGGGTAGCTGCAGCTGTAGCTCAGGTAAGCAGTTCGATCTCCGTGTCCTCCAGTCTGCATGCCAAGTGTCCTTGACGAGATACTAATCCCAAGTTGCTCTCCGGTGCGTCCATTGGAATATGAATGCATGTGAATGTTAGATAGAAAGCACTTACATAGAAAGAGCATTTAAAAAGATTACTGGTGTGAATGGATGAATGAGGCAAGCTGTGTAAAGTGCTTTGAGTGCTCAGAGTAGAAAAGCATTATATAAGAACAAGTCCATGTGTGGGGCCTGTTGCTCTGACCTATGCAATACAAATATTTCTTATTTGCATTGTAATATCTTGTTGTTGTTTTTTTGTTCCTGTTCTCAGAAATCACACCATGTCAGACCCTTGTACACAGTCACAGTGAAAATACAACTCGGAATAGCTTACATCGACAGTGAATTAGCATTACTTCCATAACAAGTTAGGACACACTCATATCCATACCAACATAGCATATTCAGCATAGAACAGACAAGTGTTTTATAGACCTGCAGGACATTTCCTAAAGGGTTGTTTATTGATAAAAATAAATTTAGAGTAATTTCAGACTAGGGATCAATATTGCTACTCTTCAACCAGCAGCATTCACAGACCGGGGTGAGGTGACTGACAGTTAACATCTTTTTAATATTTAATGGATACTAAGAATCATCACGAAAACACGCACGCACACACACACGTTGGGTATTCATATCTTGTGGGGACATATAATTGACATAATGCTTTCCCTACCCCCTTACCCTAACCCTAACCATGAAAAATGAATGCCTAACCCTAACCCTTACCCAGTGGCGGTCCTAGCCTGTTTGGTGCCCTGGGCGAACACCCCCTCTGGCAACGACACAGGAAATCATTCCTGCCTGTGGCCATCTCACTCTACAACTCCTCCATCTAGTGGAGATATCATCTGAATTTCAGGAGCGGGACCACTTCACGCCCCCTCCGGCCTCAGGCCCCCTCCGGCCTCAGGCTATAAACCCCCCCTTCTCCAATACCTTCTGTTTTCATTTTCATGCCCCACCCTGCCCCCCCTTTTCTTTCCTCTCTTCTCTTCTTCTCTCCTCTCTTTCTTTCCTCTATTTATTTCTCGTTAGTACATGGGGATCTGCCCGGCCCGAGAGCCGTTGCCAGTCCCCTTCAAGGCCTTCCCCAAACCGCAGCACTATTCACACTTCCTCATCCCCATTGTTACCAAGGATGTGGTCCCTGCTAGTGAAATACACTGTAAACACTGCAATAGTTACAGCCATTTTACACACACTCTTTTCTACTCTGTAATGTTCTTGTCAATTTTCTTGATATTTATTTATAATCACTTCTGTTCATTCTTGATATTTATAATTGAGTGATCTGTATATATTAGTGCTATTTCCTAAACGTGTAAAATCTGTAAGACAATGTATTGTTTGGAGTTGGTCTGTTACTGTTACTATTTTTAGTTCTATTTTTCTTCTTGGATCAAATGTAACCCTCATAATTTCCTTAGGGATTAATAAAGTATTCTGATTCTGATTGTTTCAGGATGAGCTGCCGTTATCCAATGACACACCTGCTTACCTGCATCTTTTGCTCATTTCTCCTCCTCTTCTTTTCTCTTTTTTCTAAACTGAGGACCTGATGGCTTTGAACTTTTCTTGTCCATCTTCCATTGGTTTTAATTTTGCACTCCAGTATGAACACCCATCCCTCAACCCGAGGATCACCACAACATAACCTAATAGACCTACACCTTAGTTCACAGATTCACTTTGTCTAAGGTTTATTTCTGGGATTTCGCATAACCCAGGATTCAAATCATGAATACATAATGGGCTTGGATTTACAACATTATGAATGAAATGTGCTCTATTTTGTAGCAGGGTTAGTTTGATGCTTTTTCGTTCTTTTTCCAGATTCAGTCTTTTGTGTTCTGCTAACCTGTATTTATTTATTTATTTATTTATTTATTGTTGTAGCAGGAACTCTGAGCTCTTGTCTTTGTTTAAATGGAAATAATTTGGACAGACTGCATGACATCAAACATCAGTATAAAGTCTGAAAGAAAAGTTTTATGATGGACTTTTGCCATAGTTGGCTACAAAAATGAGCCCTGAAACTTTGGTTTCATCTTTGTATCTGATTTCGTCATTTTACTATTTTTTACCAAATGAATCTCAGAACTATAGTGAATCACCAACTCTCACTATCATCATCATTTCTCAAAATATAACTGTTAAAGGAAAAAATATTGAGGATTATTAGGAAAATAATACAAATAATTGATCATACAATTCAATTAAAAATTATTAGAGGCTCTGATTTCACTGATAAATACATTAAAGCTAACTCAGAGCAGTGCCACTGTGAGTACATAACACCTCCTGGGTTAAGCAACAAAACCAGCTGTGGGTGGTTGTGCAGACACCATCACCGCTGGTAGCTGGGCAACTGGAACAGGCTGCATGTTGTAAACAGTGTTGTTCTCTATAGTGATTACAGTCGGGGTTTTCTTGCGATGCTTTAACTCACGATGCATCTGACACCAGGAGCATAAGGCACAGAAACAGGAAACTGCAATGTCCTTACAGAGAGAGCCCTGCAGAAAGAGAATACAAGCATTACTTTGCTTTTTCTTTCCACTTTTAGTTCAGAGTATGTCATCGTCTTGCGCTTTATACCTTGATGCCATATCTGTTTCGCATGGCAGCCCTTACAGACAAAACTGCTGGTGGAACACAGAGGGGTATCCCACAGGCTGCTAATGCAGCAGAACCAAGTATGTCACATAAAGGGAGACAGTAGTTCTCTCCAAATCTTCCTGAAACGGTGCAGGCGAGGCAGGGGCCGCACCAGAATCCATAGCAACCTGAAAAACACAGAAACACGTCAATAAAGTGGTAACAAGTCTCAAAAGATGAAGACGATACAAATGAGAAAAAAACCTGTAGTCCTGAAAACACAAATACCATTTATGAGTCAATCAACTTTAACTGGCTTCTTACAAGTATGTGCATCCTCAAAGCAGTCACAAAGACCACTGTCCCAGTCTGTCAAGGGTTTCTCTGCCATTGTGTGCCAAGATGCTATAGGATTGCTCTGTGAAAGTAGAGGAGCGGGTAAACCAAAGTTAAAGAAATGCATCTGCAGAAAGAACCGTCTGTTGTGTAGGACATCTAGGCAGTAGATGATCAGATTCGATTCTGGAGCACCTTGTAGCAAAGCTTGTTCATCAGAAACCTTAAATTCTTAAAATATTTGTTCCAGCGATCGCTAAGATTAACTATGAAAAATAGAAAGAAGAACACTGTACTGTATGTTGGCTACAATTCAAATATATATACATGTAAAAAAAAAAAAGCTTTCTACCTCAGAAAATTACATAGTTCCTTCGATTAGAAGCAGCATCTTTTTATGGTTGAATAAACACAAACAAACTGAAACTATAGGCTCGGAGAAATGAAATGAAAAGTGCATTGTCTGTAATTCTTCAGTTAAATCTGATTTATACATCCTTGATTCCAAAGACTAAGATTGAGCTTTAAAAACGCAACAGCGTCAGACAGAAAAACACAGAGAAACACCACGAGGTAAAACACTGACTTTCCTAAAACATCCAAGTTCATTTTAAACAGTCACGAGGTTGAGAGTACAGTTCAATATAACCTGACCTCTACACAAGACAGCTTACAGTCTGCAGCCCTGCATATAATTCACCTTTGCAGATAAACTGTTACCAATACAGAGAGTCAATAATAAACAGGGAAAAAAAACACTCATCTCTTTCTAAGAATGTATCAATTTACATAAACTTACTTACATTTTAGTCCCTCTGTCATCACATCTCCTACAGCGTTATACATCCAGTATTACACCGTGAACCATAAAGGAATCACACTAAACGATAGATGATGTAAAATTCATTGTAGAAAAGTGGAAGGTCTTACCTGGTCTTGCTGGACTCCCTGTGTGCACCTGTGATAAGGAATATAGGAAAGGATGTACCTTGTAATGGGAGTGGCTTAGAGTTGCCATTGGCTTGACACAAAAATGCTGCAAAACCTGAAACTATAGAAACAGAGAAAGGAAATCAAAAGATCATGCCCAGAAGTTCCTCTATATTTTTAATGAACTTTTCTTTTTGTGTTTTAAGTGCGTTCAAGTTCATTTTAAACATACAAACAAATGCAACATCTATATGTCTGTTGAAGATAAATGTCAAAAAACATACACATATAAATTTACTTTAAAACAAAGTTTCCTTTTATTGCTGTTGTGTTTCTTAAAAAAACAAATGGAAACTGCTGATAATAGTCATGATCATGTTCTAGTCTCAGGTGACTTAGATGTGACTGTTAACGTACACAGGTACGTTAAATTTTTCCAGATTTTTTTAGGGGTCTGATAGTTTGAATAAAGACATTTAGCTGTCATATCAAAAGCAGCGTCAGCTTTGTAATTCAAGTAGAGAATCAACAGTTTCTTTATTCATTCATGTATTTATTTATTTT